GTTACTACTCTAACGGAACGAACGTAACTAACCCCTAACCCCTACCCTTCCTTCCTTCTTCGTAGTAGTTGTACGACGACGACTATATACTACCACCTACTCTCTCTCTCTCTCTCTCTCTCTCTCTCTCTCTCTTTCCTTCTATAACCTAGAGAGAGGAATGCAGATACCATCCTAGCCCAGGCAGCATGATCACCCACTCGGGTCCACGGACCACCTGGACAATCCTAATTTAGGCATAAAAGGAGAGTCCAAGAACAAAAGAGAAGAAGTTGATTAGTCAATCACATATAATCGATTACTTGGACAAACTCATTAGTGAGAATTCAAAAGGACTCATTGTGGCCACAAGATTTAAGCTCCATCAGGTTGAACAAAGGGGTTGGAAATCTCATCTGTCCCATCTGTTGGGGACACTAGCATTACAGCAGTTCCCCTACAAACCTGCATGTGCATTTCATGAAACAATGAAAATCATCAATGTACAAACGAGGTACATGTGCAGCATCATCGAAAAACGGATATAATTCATACAAGTTTAGTCTCTAAAATTACAGCAGACATACAAAGTACAATCATTTTAGGGTGGTTCTTTTCATTTCCCCAAGAAGGGTACAGCACAAGGGCTACTCATACTAAAGGCTCATACAAAGCACAATGATTTTAGAGCGGTTCTTTTCATTTCCCCCTTCTAAAGTTACCATGGTCATACAAAGCACAATGATTTTAGAGTAGTTTTTTTCATTTCCCCTAAAGCGGGACACCACAAGGACCTCCATAAGGCCGGTCCTCTTAAAGCCTCTCTCTCTCTCTCTCTCCTCCCCCATGCCCCTTCATTTCAAGAAGTTTGCAAGAATGACCCGTGGAGGTAATTATACAAAGACAACATGGATCAATTCACTAGAAAGTAAAAAGCAAAACCATCAACTACCAGACAATATTTTGAATGTTGCAAGAATTGAGAACTTACAATCAGACCAAGAGGCCTCGTTTGATCTGTTGTCTTCAGTGGATCATCCGGATCTGAAACACAATAACATTAAATGATTTTCCATTGGCCTTTTCAAGCAAAGGGCCAGAAGAAAACTTAGCATCTACTTTCAAACTTTCTTTTCGCTACCAAAATATACAAAGAACTTAGAGAAGATTATTATGGTCTTGCCTGACCACATAGGTTGTCTATGCCCCAAAAAACAATGGGAAGCTTTTTTTTCTTTTATGTGAAATTTTTTGATCATCTCTGATATACCTTGTAAACAATGGGCCCCATTCAATTAAAAGTAAATATTCTTTTGCACTCTTAAATCCCTAAATCCATCTCAAAGGGACAGTTTAGAGTCGGTCTTTGGGGTGACATGCTTTGGAGCATATTTGAGCTCCAAATCTTCTATTTTTTCTAGTGGAATAGATCTTGGGGTGACGAGAGATGATCTCAAGATTGTTCAGATAAAAAAATACCCCTAACTATGTTTTTCGGGGTTCTCAACCATGTGTTGTAGAGGATTCGTCGGCCACCTAATAGACTCCCAAAAAAACCTCTTCGCTACATCTAGTAAGAAAGGTTGCTAGAAGAAATTGTGGCCCAATTAACATAAGCCCTAGTACTTAAAGTCAGATAACAGTGACTAGTTTATCACATAGAGAAATGTGGAGAAACTAATCAAAAAATTTCCCTTGACTACATACTTCTGAATAAATAGGTAATAGCGGCAACTTTGTGAAATTTTACGTTCACATTTTTAGTGGGTTGTTTGACTCATCCTTAGCCTTGGCAAATGGACGTATAGGATAGATATGATGCCAGAACTCTAAGATTGGTATAATATAATAAGAGCGCATATTCTATGCTTGCGCAGGAGGATAGTGTACTAGTCCCTCGGCCAGAAGATCCACTTACGAGATTTTTACTATTGTTTTTTTAATTTGAAGGAAGCCACCCAAGAATAACTAGATGGTTATTCTCAAAAAAGAACATTTGAATTTTAAGTTTTTTTGGACACCTAGATTTCGCCTTCTAAAAATTGGATGATTACTATTCAAGCTTGAGACATTACTTTTTTTCAAGTGAATAGAAAGCGAAATTAGAAAAAAAAATAAAAAAATAAAAATTATTGAGGTTAATCTATAGGCTGAAGAGATTACATCCCCATAATTTGGAGTGTCCTAAACTTAATCCTAGATGGGGATTTACCTAAGGGAGTAAATGGACAGTATACTCTTGTGGGAGCATAATATCTTTTGGCATATAATAAAGGAACTCTAGAAAAGAATCACCAGTTTCGAAGAAGACAAAAGCCACCACTGTTTTTGAAACAATGACATCCTAGAAATAATACATTGAAGGGAGAAGTGCGGGAAAGAGAAGGGGGGGAGGGGGAGGGGGAGGGGGAGGGGTTGGGTGGGAATCGTTGGTGGGGGATGTTGAGGTTGGAAAAATCTTATAACAAATATGTGGCAGGATTTCACCACAGACATTAGGACAATTCTTTCATTTTCGAACCTGTGTTAGTCTTATCCTTTGAAAAAAGGTTTTGAAACTGGTGTTAATTAAATAATCTTTTCGAAGCCCATCTACTATTGAAGTTTCCCATAAACGAAAAAAATACTACGATCATGTATGGTCAAAGAGTTATCCCCCTTCCCATAAATTGAAGTTCAGTGACGAACTATACACTCGAGTACCTCTCAGAAACTCTATTGCTTCATCTAGCACAAGGTTCAGAAGCTGGTCATACCCTTTCAGAGTACCTGTTACTGTAGATAGAATAAAAATCAATTATTTAGAACCTTGCATGAAGTCTAAATCCAATAATTAGTAAATACTTAAAAGAAAACTAAAGAACAGAGGAACAAAGAGGAAAACCATTAGAGCATTCTCACATAAGGAGAAACCATGCCGATATGCAGTAGTGTTCGATTTAGATTTACACTGAAAAGAACCAGAAACAACCAAGTCTGTCCTACTGATATGTAAATTGAAATGTTTAAAAAATATTCATGTGGCCCTACTGACGATAAAGTGACATTTCAAATCTCTCTCTCATCATACACACACACATACACATGCACACACAAACATCCACCCCCACGTATGCACACAACAACCAAAAAAAAAATCCCATTGCACCCCAAACAACCATCACAAAAACACTCAGAAGTTGGGGCAAAGATGCTCTCAGCGAATGCTTCAGACTTTCCTCCCTACATGTAACACAAAAATTCATGGTTCAAAGCGGAAGCATCTAACCACATGGTTCCTGCAACTAATAACATGTGAATACCACGATAAACCCACCCTGCAGTCAAAGGAAGTCCAGCACAGTCAAAAATGGAATTACAGATGCAATGAAAACTTCCCCACTCAGAATAATCAAATGCAAAAAAGAACAACCTAGCAAGAACACCTCTCAAAGCCCTAAAACCAAAACTTTTCTAATCCCTCCCAAAAACCCTCCAAGATAAGTTAGAACTCCTCTGCCAAGCTTCAGAGTTCAATGAGCAGGGTATTTTGGCCTTTGATATAAACACTTATCACATGTTCGAGTTGATTGATTAGCACATCAGAACTGACCTATCAAATCCCAATATCCTTACAAAAGGTCCTCACAACCAAATCCATTTGGGGGATGAACACGCTTGCTGCATATCCACAACCTTCCAAGAACATACTCCTTAACCACCAAGTTAAATTTGAACAACCATGCAATTACTCACATCCTCATAGAATATAGACGAGGAGATAATCAAAGTCCAATAAAATTTACGGGATTGTCTGTTATGAGACCATTTACCTCTTTGTACACTTTCCGTAAAATTTACAAAGATTCAAGTACGATAAAGAGTCATATTAGCCTAAACAAACACCCTTGGATTACTATCAACACCATAGTGTCAAAGAATGACAATGTGAATGGAGTAGACGATTGTTTTGTTCTATCTGCACATCTACCTAATAGGAATGAGAGTTATCCATGATTACATTGTATTTTTCATGGTTTCACCTGGCTACTATGTGATGTGCTCTTCACGTGCATCACTGATGGGATCTAAGCTATAATGTAAGTATAGATAAATATAAAGGGTGTGGTTTATATTAAGGCACTATCTTAAACAATCATAGTAAGGCACACCTACAAACTCTGCCGGAAGATCCAGTTCTAATGATGGAAACCCCTACAATGGCATGGAAATATGTTTCCGCCTCTAATTATGAAATTCAAAACTCCAAAAATGATTGGGATCGAGCAGATCTGTAAACACTTGAAAATATTGAATATGGACAGTCCAGATAAGGTGCTAAAAGATACACTATTTTCAAGAGTTGAAATCATTCGTTCTTTTCATATCCATACATCTCAAGGTCAAGATGATCAATTGGAGGGTTTTCAGGTGTCGGAACAACCTTTTCGGATGGATTGAGATACACCTGACTTCTATAGTATAAGATTGATAACTTATATAGTGCGACTTTTATCCCCCAAAAAAAAAATCAACATCTTATACGTAACTTTTTTCAAATATAAATGACTTTCAACTATATCCATAACAAACTAAATATGAATGGACAGAGGAACATCTGGAAGCCATGTAAAAACTTTTATATTTTAACTGTTTTATTTTTTTTATTTTGAATGGTAAAAATTGAATTTGAATTGCCCTAAGAAATTGCAAATGGCTTCTACAATTTATTCTAGTTTTACACCAACCTACAATAAGCAAATCATAATAACAAATAGTAGTGCAATACAATTGCCCTTCTTCTATGATATTGTTACTTATAAAAAACAATAGTTTGTAGTAGAGGAATCTCCTATTACATAATGAGAACGATGGCAAATAGCATTATTCAAATGTTAACTTTATATTAGTGGGATCCTCAAAAAAACTTTATATTAGTAGGAGAGAGAAATTCTCCCAACTGTAAATTAAGTGCACTGCACCACAAACAATGAACTCTAATGGTCAAACTCAAGAAAACTCATCAGTTCAATGAGCTAGCAAAGCACAAAATAGGATTACCTTGTCTTCCACCTGTGAGTTTGACTTGCACACCCTTGTCAACAAACTTTGCCAAATCTAGAACGGTTTCCTTTCGACCTGACTGAAATAAATAGGCAAGTTCTACAGAATGAGCAATCCAACATGTGCAACATGTTACAATTATACTATCCGCTAAAGCACATCAAATTACAAAGAACTGAGCCTAAACCAATGTCAACTAGAGAACAAGAAAAGAAAACAACAAAAATATTGCAATTGAATATCATTTAAAAATAAAAATACAAAACTATGTAACTTCTACACACCCGGCAAGAATTTCAATAGGAAGACCTAATGACCATAATCAGAGGTAAAAGTACAGCACTAACAGAAATTATGCCATCTAATATAGCCAAGAGTACTAAAATTCTAGTGTTGTTCCTTGTAGAAATATAAAAAACAGTTAAGCCTTCTATTTTGCTTAAAGATACTCTGACACTAGTCATAAAACGGTTGACAACCGGAGCCAACTAAGTCGCAATGCTGATAGCTGCAAATTAAGTATCAGTATTGACCTGGCATTGGTGCAGCAATATTGAAATTTCTAGATGACCACTGCTCTGCACTAGTTTCTGCTTCCTCTTAGAATCTTCACTTGAATCCTAATGCAGCAGGAAGTAGTTGACCACCCCAGACCCTTTACAAATGGATGATATCATTCCATGTGTTTAGCATAGATTTGAACACGGATTTCCTTAAGATATGTGTATTGATTTAGCTTTCCAAAAGCTTTAGATTTGGTGTTATTAAGGTGACTTCACTGGCATGGTCTATTATGACAAAGAAACTGCAGTAAACAATCATTTCGTGGAGAATAAGATAAATTAAAAGTTATCACAGAATTCCTTTTATCCCTACTAGATGCCAAACTGCCAGCAATTTGCTCTTTTATAATTTAATTTAGATCAGATTACAAACATCCAACTCAGAGGAAAGAATTACTTTGTTGAGAACAACTGCTGCTTATTGAACAGAAACAACGAATCCAAAGGATGCTGAAATAACATTCCACGCAATACGAACATTTCTCACATTTTAGTCAAGTTATGAACATAGTGAATTTGGTCTGTTGGCACCCCAAAACATGGGACAACACTCATCAGACAAAAACCCCCGCTGCAGACAGTAGTCAGAGACAGCACAGATACAGTTGGATGTGTCCCAAATAATTTAAACAAGACACTCCAATCATTAATTTTACTTGAAAAGAAAAAGAATTGAAAATCAAGAGAAAGTATTTTTTTTAAAAAATAAAAGTTCAGTAAATCAGCAAATAAACTTTCTGAAAGAAGATTAAGAATTATAAGCACTTCATCATCATCATCTGAGCCTTATCCCAACTATTTTGGATCGACTACACGAATCTTGCTCCACCATTCCACTCTATCAAAAGCTATACCCCCTAGTCACACTATAAGTCATCATGTCTTTTCTCAGTACTTCCATCCATATCCTCTGGGGCATTCCCCATGCCCTTTTAGAGCCCTTCCACTTGAACCAAGCCAACCCTTCTAACTAATGTTGATCTAGGTCGATGCCACATATTAAGATACTAAACATTTCTTAAATAAAATTGAGATAATAAAAACATCAGATTTTCCAATGATAATTAATAACAGCTGTGAAAATCATTTTATTTGTTGTGTTGACTTCCGCATTGATATTAAATTAAAAAAAAAACATTACTAATATCCAACTTCAATATTTTTATTGCCCATTTCTTTTATCAACTAATGCCATGATTTTTATATTATATACATAAAAAGATAATATATTCCCATAATATATTCACATTTTCTTTCCAAAAATTGGAGCATACAATATCCATGTCCAACACCCATATCAAGTCCTGGGAAATATTAATGTCCAAGGACACGTAGTTCCAAGCAAACTGAGCAAGAGCCTCACCCCAGCAAAATCAGGCCTGTTTGGGAGGATCAATTTCTGGGAACAGGTCTCTTTTTCCTTTCTTGACCCATATAAAACTCAAAACTGCCCTTACTTGTTTTACTCCTATGTTCATGAACAATGGACTTCTGTAACCCCAATTGTCAAAAAAGAGGGGAAAAAAACACAAAAGGCAAAACATCCGTGGCGTGGCAAAAAATAACTCTGTTCTTCCCACGTTTATAAAAAGTGCCCTGGTTAGAATTGTTCAACTATCTAAATGGGGCCTATATCAATGTCAAAAACAGGTGTTCAACCATTGCCATTAAGATTGACACATAGACTTCCCCAAAATTTCTTGTAGAAAAATCCCCTAAGGCTACCAACTCAGTCAACAGAAAAAAACAACTTTGTTCAGTTTCCAAGACAAGCTAGACTGAACTGTGATTCCCACATGCATCCACCCAATGTTCCAGAGCAAGAGGGTCACTCTAATAGCGGTTATAAGAAGAGCATTCAGAATTTCTTTTACTCCAACTCCAAGGCTTCCTCATTAAAGACTAAAGAGACACAAATTGGCATCATAGAAGCACTGATGACAAAGTGAACGCATAATTGATGGAGAAAAGTTGGCAGGCAACCAATAAGCAAACCCCCCCAAAAAAACTGTAAGCTTCATTCCCTTCCTCCTAACATATGTCTCTGTTTGTCTGCACTTTGTGCAACTAGATGTGTACAATTCTTTATACTCAAATGTTAGTCCTCCAAAGAAAAAAACACTAATCTTCAATGGTTATTCAACCTAGAGGGTTTAGGGTTTATAGATGTTAATCTATCCTAAAATAAAATATTCACAGTGTTCACACTTCACAGGTACTGTGGCCTGTTTAGCTCCGAAGGTCCTGTCAATAAATTGTACTCACAGACAATATTATCACAAATCAATTGAAGTGAAAAAGAAATGGATCCTGAGAGAGACCTAGTTCTTGCATTGCACATACTATATATAACAAAATTCCAACCTGGTTGTTGAGACTTGTGAGCTCCATTTATAGTGAAAACGCATGTCACAATATACATCATGCAACAATAAGGAACAGACAAGAGCAAATAAGTTAAGCCAGAGCACAATCCACTAGGATCTAGAGGTGCACATCAAGCACACCCAACAGCACCACTTAACGTACCCCTCAGTAAATAAGATGAGAAATGCAGAGGCACCACATGAACCGTATGACGACCCCAACCACAAGCGCGCACACACACACACACACACACACACACACACACACATACACACACACACACACACACACACACACACACACACACACACACACACACACATATATATATATATATATATATATATATACTACTACTATAT